AGAGAAGAAAATTTTTTGGTCGCTCCCCGGAATCGAACCCGGGACCTTTGAATGAGAGGCCAACACCTTAACCTCTAGGCCACGAGAGCCCCTATATAGGACTTTGACCCTGTTATGCAGAGCCAGTCCAAGCTGAAAGGGATACAGCATCCCAATAGAAAGAGAGAGGTGCTAGATAAAGTTCTCCCTGTATGGGAATTGAATTTGGGTCCTCTGCATGCAAGGGTAAAGTGCCTAACCACTACACCGCCTACACCAGTAATAACAGATAGTCGTATCTTATTAAGTTATCTTATCTTACCTTATTTGAGCTGATCTTATCATGTCTTACTATCTTATCTTGTCATTTTTTATTATCTTATCCTATCCTGTTATTTTATATTATCTCATCTTATCCCAGAACCTTATCTTATCTTAATCTTATCTTATCAGGCCAGAGACCAGCAAACCTGTTCCAGAAAAGCAGTCTGGCTTATCCAGTGTCAGGGCTATGGACTCTGAGACGTTTCACTTTGTGAGCTACGTGCCCATACGGGGACATCTCTTTGAGCTGGACGGTCTCAAACCTCATCCAATTGATCACGGTGGGTTTATTTATTTATTTGTGAGGATGCTTTGATCTTTATTTCCTTGTGAAATGGGGAGACGGTTAGGGGAGGAGAATAGGAGCCAGAAGTTTTCTGACATTGTCAGCTCTTTTAGATCCAAGAGTGTTGGAAAGAGTCTCTTCTTTGCGTTCCCTTCCTAGATCTCAGGGTTAGTAGATTGCTTGTTTTTCAACCCGCAGTGCAACTGCTTTTAGGTATGTGACCACTTTTCCTACTTTGTAGGGTCTTTTCAGGCAGCCACGTTCTGATTTCGAAGGCATTGTTGTTTTGGTTTTTTGGGGGGGTTAAATGCTGGCTAGAGTATTTTCAGTTTTGGTTGAAGTTAAATTTGAATTTTTACCTGGATGACGTCCAAAGCCTACTCTTATAGATTTTAGGACTACCAAGGGATCTTTAGTATGCACAACTTGCACAGGAGACCTCTGAGATTTTTATTCCTTATCCATGATGGATCGATCTTATTGACCCTAAGATCAGGTGTGTGGCTGAAAGACAGCAGTTAAAAGAAGCCGGGAATAGAAGTAGAAAGAGTCAAGAGTAAGGGAGTTAGGAACACAAAGGGGGCAGAAGGTTGGGGGGGAGGGGGGAGGGAGATGCAAGCAAATGACAGCATCGGACTAAAGAACAGGAAAGGAAATCAAAGGTGAGAATTTTAAATTTTTTTTACATCAAAGTAACACTGTAAGACAGCTGCTTTTTTACTTGACCATCAGTGGCTGTCTAAGACTAGGACAATTTCGACTGTACTGTAAATTAATTAATATTACTTGCCTCACTATTTTCCCTATGTTGTTTTTTTCACTCTCCATTTTCAGGCCCATGTGAAAAAGGTGAGGCCTGGACGGAGAAGTTTCGTCGTGTCATCACCGACAGACTGGGAATGGCCACGGGCGGGTATGCTGCTGTTTTATTATTGTTCTTTGGTCACTGAACCAGTTTACAGTCAGGATTATTTCATTTCTTTTTACTTGAGTCATAAAACGAGCTTTTTGGGTGAATTATTTCTTCTTTTTTTTTTACTTAAGTCATTAAACCAGCTCTTTGGGTGAATTATTTTGTTTCTTTTTATTTGAGTCAGCGAACCAGCTCATGGGCTGGTTCGTTTAATTTCCTTTTTGAGCTTTCATTTTACCCCCTAAAGCTGGTAGTACTGATTTTTCTCTTTATGTCGATGAATTTTAAAGGCAACAGTCTTTATGACAGTCTTTTTCAGTGTTTCAGTCATGCAGTAGTGTTGGAAAATATGGGTCTAGGACCAAAAAAATTTGTCAAATTTTGAAAGAAGATAGAAAAATGGGCTTAAAAGAATAAAAAGAGGTAATGGGATCTCTGTGAACTATTGGTAGGTCTGATGGACCTATCAGCAAAGTTTAACTCAAACCTCATCAAAGATTGCACTCTTATTGTCTAAATTGACAAGATAGTATCAAAATCAGTGGAATATTCAAAGGTAGAATAAGAAAAAAAAGTTGAAGAGTGTGCTTCTAGTGATTTAGCATTATTCAAGTCGCATTTTAGAGAGAAACATGTAAGTTGCAGGAAAAAAAAGAGGGAAATTTAGACACCAGGCTGTGTACTTAGTATGCTGTTAACCCTTTTAGCCATTGCCACCAGCACTTGTGGCGCGTAAAACTGTCCGTATGCCTAGCCACCGGTTCAATAGTGAGCAAGACCCTGTCTCCAACCCCGCCCGCCGGAGGCAAAATACGTTCAGAAAACAATGTTTCCTACACAATAGGTTATTGATTATTTTGAATATCACTCTGATTAAGATGCTGGTAATGACAGGGACTATCCTGAGTGGAATATGGATTGTGATTCTGACGATCATATGAATGTTTGTTATATATCGCTCAGGAGCTCAGGCAGTGGGGCACGATAGCCTCAGGAGGTCAGGGCTCAAAGGGTTAATGGATAACTAGTAGTTTCTCTAGTGTGGCTTACTTTTGAGATACAGTAGAGTCTGTGTAAACTGAGCTCGGTTGGTCCCCAAAAGCAAAGAAAATAGAAACCCAAATTTTGTTTCTTCGCTAATTGAACGATCTGTGTAAAACCAAAAAACACGTCTAAACCTAAAAGAACCTGGCGGTCCTGCAGATTTCAGTTTAAGGGGATTCCATTGTGTTTGTATTAGTTGTGAAAGTCTACTTCATGAGGTGTACGTGACTGACACATGCTGTAGTGGTAATGCACACCTCATGTTCAGTACTTTTTTTTTTTTTTTTGTTTTTTTGAAGAGATAGTTCAATGTTTGCTTTCAGAAAAATCTTTCAGAGTTCGCTCAAACCAAGTATGAGTTGGTTTTGTTTTTGTTTTGTTGGTTTGTTTGTTTTTTACTTCAAAGATATTTGCATCATTTTCTTGTGCTATGATCCAAAGTATTCTTTATTCTTCAATCTTCCACAGATCCTTTTTATTACCTTGACCTATGTACCAATGCCTGTTTTATTTGTCCTCTTACATCTTCAGTGAACCATATCACGACATTCGCTTCAACTTGATGGCAGTTGTCCCGGACAAGCGCCAGTTGTTAGAACAGAAACTGTCAACTCTCAAGACAAACCGCAATATTGTTCTGGAAGCTCTACAGCAGGTAAGATGCTGGATTTTGGAGTGGAGAGTGTGGTATTTGCTTTGCTTTGTACTCAGCTCAGCATGATGTGTACATTATTTTTAGCAATATTTGCAAAACTATTCATTCTTTTTTTATACCCCCATATGACATTTTTTCTCTTAATTTTGTGTGTGTGTGTTTTTTTAAGAATTGTAGTGCCTCACTGATTGCCCCATACTCCTGCCCGTCTCTGCGGGTGGTAGGAGGGTGCTGCTGATAGGTCCTACTTCTTTTCTTTTCCTCTGTTGTGTCTGTCTGCCTGTCTTACTTTTTTCCAGCACTACAGGACCATTATTGTGTTGATATGCTTATCTTAACTGAAATAAATAAATTAACCTTTCCATCTTCTCCTCCTCTTCTTCGTACTCTTTATTCTGACACTGTTTCATAGATAGCCGAGGGAATTGTATGATCAAATATAAGACAAAGATACGGGTGGAAGCTCCGGCGATGTGATGAGTTTGTTGTTTCATTTAATTGTGGGAAGATCTTTTTTCTTTTCCCCTCCTCAAAATATTGTCCTCAGTATATTGTTTGTTTTGGAGGGCAATCTTTTTGCCAACTAAGAAAACTTTTGGGTTTGATACTCTTTTGTTACAAAGCACTATTCTTGTACAAAGCACTTTTCTTAGATGTGGCAATAAGCTTGATCATAAGATAACTCTTTTTTTTTCTTTTTTTGGTAATACGAAAGAACATTTATCATTCTGTTGGTTTAGCATATTTATTCTTTTTCTGTGCCCATCATAACACCTATTTCCTTCCCTTTTTCTTACTCATTTTCGTCAACCCTTTTGTCACGCTTTTGCTTTATTCTCCTCACTGGTTTATTATTCTCCTTGTCATTTCAAAAATTGTAACAGAGAAAAACGTTTTTTATGAAGAAAGAAAAGAGGCAGTATGTGAGGACTCCTAATGTATATATATATGTGATGGATAATACAGAAGTGATCCCCGGCTGTGTATTTTATGTAACACCACAAACTTGGTCTTGAAATACGTTAATGAAGATGAGAAATGATTCAGTCATCATCTAGTTTATCATCTCTATCCCAACATTTTGATAGATAAATGAGTTCTGTTTTCACCCGAACTATTGCTGTTGGCTAATTTCCTAGATTGAGACCCCGCTACTTTAGTCTCATTTTTAGGTATTGCCAGTCATATGTTCTCCATGTTCCCGAGTCTGATATTATTAGTTCAGCAAAAGCACATAACTTCGAAGTCATTGCTGTTGACTCCCTCGAAGCCATTTTCATCTCATACTCAAGTAATTTTCACCATCCCCCACTTTTTTTTACCTGTTTTCTTTACAAATCCAGCTGCTGGATGCCAAGGTAATCTCAGAACTTGTTTGCAGTTTCTGGTTGACAGGCTTTTCTGGCATCAGATGCTGCCAGAGGCTTTTGATTGGTTTTAGTTTTCCAGACGTTATTGATTACCGGAAATTGTGGTTTTATTAGTCTTTAAATGGCAAAATGAGAAATTGGGGGTTTATTTCTATGTAACACAAAGAACAGGATCAGAAGCTGCAGTTTGTCAAACATTAATGGAATTTCTTGACATTGTTTATTATTAAAGTTTCGTTTTTCTTATGGATGCAATAACATTTGAAACTTTGATGTAAAATTCATTGAATTCAGCCGATGCTTTTAATTTCACTTATTTTGTACTCACTCCTTTTCCTTCTTCTTTGGCCTTTTGCCTATTTTTATTCTTTAATACAACATGTACTTTGTAGTACACTGTATATGTTCAAGATACAATCTACACATTTCAATCACAACAAAATGTTTGCCTTTGTCGCATAGTTTCATCTTTGAGTGTAAAGTCTTGCTGCTAAAGTTTTCAGCGTTGCAGTAAGTCTTCTGAAATTGGAGATACAATTTACCTTTTATGGTGAGGGACAGGAGTTTGGATCATTTGTTTAACTTTTTAATCTATGCCAGAGCCCTATTTTTGTACGAAATCTGAAAGTTTTCACCAGATCCTGATTTTTTCCCCCCTTGAGATCCTGACTTTAAGATTTCATAGAGTGGCAGGTTTGGATTTATTACTCAGTTTACACTATAGGATTATTGTGTTTTATTTATTATTTAATTTTTAAAGATTTTTGTTGGGCTCATGCTAGGACATTTGTCATTATTTTATGTAATTTCCTTGAAAAATGGACCCCAGTCATGCAAGGTTTACCCCTTTTCTGATTGACACTACCTCCTTTTTAGTTGAAGTAGTCTTAAATAACAAGAAGCATTGGTTGTCCTTGAAGTGGTGATTTGGTTTTGAAAGCAGTAGTAAAAAGACCATAGCTGATTCATTATCACAAAAGAACTAAATCATGAACAAAAAAACAAATGACGATTAGGCTGTCTTACTTCAGCCTTTTCTCAAACAAATGTACTTCAGTTCCTTCAAAGAAGTGTCGTTTCTTTCACTTGTCTCTATGTTATGTCTCTGTGCAATGTCTCTGTGTTGTCTCTCTTTAATGGAATCTGCAAATCTGTGTTCATCTCAAATCCAAAAATGTTCATATATCTCTCGTGCACCGAAATACACTTTATTTCAAGGTTCCATAATGTAGTCGTATCAGTGTCATTACTTTTCCATAACTGTATGCAATTTCTAATAATTGCAACCAGTAAATGAAGTTTTCTTAATTAATGAATTATTAACTAAAATGATTGATATTATACAAGCAGTATGTGTTTCCAGTTTTGGATAGAAAATGTCAAGGGCTAATAAGACTGGATAAATTAGTATTGGAGAGGAGAACGAGTATTATTTTTAGACGCCTAACCTGTATTTTCTTGCTCAATTTTACATTAGTTTCTTGAGGAATAAATGTTGTATGTGAATTAAGTCTGTTCTATAATTTTATCGTTGGTAAAAGGGAAAAAAATGTTCATTGTTGTTTTCAACTGTTTCTTGTTTGTTTGTTTTTGTTGTTGATTCTTTCACTGTTTTGAGGTAGAGTATGTTGCATGGTGACACCACAGCAGACAGAATAGGCCTACATCTGTTTGTTTATGTTACAATTACAGCTGAACCAGCTCTAACGACCTCCTGTCCGAGACAATCACCTGTACAAACAATCCCTTTCCGCTTCCCCCCCCTTTGTTTATTCTTTATTATAATGACCACTGCCTAAGAGGACCACCTGTCTTAGATTATCTGCGTTCTCCTCGGCAATGGGTGGCTATCTTGGACAGATTCGTCTGTATATATGTACTTAGTGAAGTTTTCCTGACCAACTTTCATTTCAGTTTGAATCAAGTTTTTTTTTAAACTGCTAATATCTGTTTTGTTTGAGTTTTTGAGATTTGATCAAGTGAAAGTTCCAAAAACAGTTAGGACTGCTGGATTGCATTTTTGAAAGTCTTACTTTTCTGTTTAGAAAGTGTGCCATTGTTGTTAAAAGATAACGTTAAATTACATCTAAATAGCTTACAGCTACTGAATTTATTGCAACTATTGAGTGATTCAGACATAGATAATTACTATGAAAGCTAAAGTAAAAAATGAAGTTGAGTCTGCTGGTGAAGATGGTGGGGATGATGAAACCTTTTCATGATCCATCTCACAAGGAAGCAAGAAAGAAATAAGAAAAGAAAGACAACAAATATTGAAGAGAAAAGTTTTTAAAAGGTCAATAGCGGAGCAAAATAAACAAACGATACAGCTACTTCCACAGAAATGAAATACATTTTAAAAGTATTTTTGTTTTGTTTTGTTTTTTTGTTTTTTTGTTTTTTTAAATTAACTCATTTGATATGGAACAATCAAGTGTATGATGTAGGAATATGAGTAGCACTGCCTGAAAGCAGTTTTGTAAAGCCTGCGTCTTTAGGACACATGTGGGAGGGGAAAAAATAATGCCCGATCATAGGAACAAAAGTCGCAAGGTGAAGGAGTGGACCGTCTGTGTTCTGAATATGCTCGTGCGGCCGTTTTTTCTTAAATACGTTATTAATATGTTTCAGTTTTATGATAACATTATTCAGACTAAGACTTACGTATATGTTGATTCGGATTTGATGAAATGTGTTGTGTGTTTTTTTACACGTATTCTGTGTTGCATGCTGTTGAGAACAAGGAAAAAATTTGTACAGTCAGATATGTATAAATTTGTATGTTTTGTGTGCTATTGTGATTCGGGGATTCTATATGGGTATTTTTACCCCCCCCCCCCCTCCCCTTTTTTTTCTGTCTTTAGTCCCCTAGGGTAATGACTTACTAAAGCCCCTTCTCCTTTAAATGAGCAGTAGGGTGTGTACTGCGCCTTGACCCATTCTTTTTGATTTGTTTGGTTGGATTTTTCTGGTGTAAATTAAATCTCTGAAAAAGTTGTTTTTGTTCAGAGCCACCATCTGTCTTGGGTAATGTTATGGGAATGCTGTGTCCTTGAACAACTCTTTTTGTGAAAACTTTTGAAACTTATTATGATGAACTTTGCTGTGGATATGGTTTAGTTCCCCTACAATTGTTCACCTCTCAACTTTCGGTATTATATTTGTTTTACCTTTGTTAAAATAGCCGCCCTTTAGTTATGCTTGTGGTGTCCTACGAGTTTGCATGGTCAGTGTCCGGCCAAGTTTCGTCTTCTCTCCAGTAGGTGAAAAGATTTTTTTAGTAGAGGTTTTACGGTGCTCGCAACTGCATAAAGTCATATGAGCGCCATAGGTGAAAAGGGACTTTAAGTTAACTAAAGATCCCACTTACTACTCCCTGGATCCTTTACACCCTTTGAAGAAAGGCCAGAGCGTAGATGTTCCTTTTATGTTGTCCTCCCACAGTCTTTCCTGTGTTGCTCTCCTTATAAATCTTTCTCCTGGCACGGTTCAGTGCTGAAATGACCGGCAAAGGAGATTGATCTGAAGAAAGGATATCTCGTCTAGTGTGTTTTGATTTTGCACTTTACTGCATTAATGATACTGATCGATTGAATTTATATGGCGCATATCCTTACTTGAAGGTTGGCCTTGATACATTTTTTTTATTTGTCCCTAGGATTTTTTTCTTTAAAAAAATTGATGGGTGGAAAAACGAGTTATTTTTATGAGCGCATGATTTCACCACGATGATACACATGTTCAGTCGAAATTGTCCAAGACAGCCACCCATTGTTGAGGAGAAAAGTGTTTGTGTAAAAAAAAGTGGACGTCTTGGACAGTCTCATTATAGTAAGAAAAATAAACAACAGAAGATGGGAAGTGGTGGTTTGTACAGATGATTGTCATGGGCAAATGGCCGTTACAGAAGGTTTGATTGTATATAAAGGTATCATAACTGGAACAACGGTTGCAGGTTTAAAGTTGTTCAGCTATAATATGTTTGCTTCATGGGGAATTCTGATCATTCATTTCTTTTTAAAATAAATATAGATCTAGGACCTTTCTGCCTGGAAAGTATGTGTTTTTATAGATGCATCAAGTTGAGAATGTTTGTGGGTGTTCTAGGGTCTGCTGGGGTAATGATAGTTTTGTAAGGCGCATAGAGCATGCAGTAGCGTGTGGGTATGCGCTTTGAAAATGCTGTTATTATTATTATTATTGTTATTGTTATTATTATTTTCATTTAAGGACTAATAAGGTGCTGTTTTTAAGAGAACACTTTGTGTTGACTTTATCTATATTCCTGTCATATTTCTCCAAAGATAAGCTCCAGTCTGACACTACAGTCTGGAAATATGCCACAGCAGACAGACACCTTTTCTGCTTTTGTGAGCTTGGGACTCAAGAATTTACCTTTCTCCACAACTTTTTAGCTTGAAATATATCTCTCAGTATGTTCTATGCTATTGTGCAAAGCTTTTCTTCCGATTTCTATTCATCTGGCCTGGAGCAATATTTGTACACCGATAATACTCATAGTTATTGATTTATTGGTTAGATTTTTTTCTACTTTACAGAGTGGAAGGCCATTGGTGTGGGGAGGGGGGGTGTTAGTCTACTATGAAGTGTTATGAGTTTATATTTTGATTTCTGTGGAAACGTATTTTATCATTGTACTCGGAGAAGATTGTGTTCAGAAAGCAGTTTGCCTGTAGCTGACAGTGTTTGATTGACATGCATTTTGAATTTGATGGCGCCCTCAGAATATCAATGAAAATCTGTTGTTGGATTTGCTAGTATTCTTAATATGTTTGCTCTAGATTTCTCCCTCTTCCTACAAGTTTCTCTTTCAGTTGTACAAAATTTATACAACATGCTTTAGTTAGAGGGAACAGATACTGTTTGTAGCCTCGAAAATCACTTGTGCTGTTGTCATGGAATGTATTTAGTTGTTTTGTTTTGTTTTTGTTGTGCTGCACAGAAGTGAAATACAACTAAGGTTCCATGTACTTCTTGTTTTGAGCTGCTTAAGTATACGTGCTGTCCATGTTTTAAACGCCCTTTCTTCATTTTATATGTGACACATCTTTTAAAATGACGTTCAAATTGTTAAGATTTTTTCCTCTTGCACACAGCTATATTTCTCTACTGTTTTCAAGAGAATATGTCGCGTGTAATAATTAATTATGAACTTGTAGTGTTAATGATTATTGATAGCTGAGAAAAGTTTTAAATTGTGACCACCTGTGAGATAAATGAGGGGTTCAAACTTCAGTTGAACTTGTCTAAGACAACTGCTCTGTGTCGAAGAGAAAAGTGGTAATCTTAGACAGGTGGTCCTATTAGACAGTGTCATTATAATGCGAAATGTATTTTAGAAATGCGGGGGAGGGGAGGGAGCGGTCATTTATACTGGTGATTATCTTGGACAGGTGGTCACTAGAGTAGTTTTCGACTTTGCTTACTTGTGTCTGAATGAGCTTAGACTGGCGAGACATTTTGTCTTTTACTCTCATCATATCATGTTGTTTGTATACAAGACTTTTTAGTTGGTTCCAAGTTAGTACATGTACCCCCCTCTCAGAGCTTAGTAAGTAACATTTTGTTTTTCTTTTCTTTCTTTTCCTCTTTGACCTTTGACACAGGTTGTGTCTCCGGCCAGCAGTGAAAAGTCTGACTCGGAAACAAAGAGTGAGGTGAAAAAAAGCGTGACTTTCACAGCAGATCCGTCGGTCATGGCTGCAAAAAGTAGCACGATGTCTTCAGATCCGGCCACTAGCCTTGGCCCGTCCACCTCGTCCACTACCTCTGGATTGCCGTCAACTTCGTCGACTTCACAGCTGATCTCTACTTTACCTCTTCAGGTCGTTGGATCATCTAAAACGTCCTCGTCATTACCTATTTCTATCTTGAAAGCACCTGCCTCATCTTCCTCCTCATCCGTATCACTGTTAACATCATCTGTGGTTCATTCGTCGTCGAGTTCTGCCTGTTCAACATCTGTGTCTGCGACTTCGTCAGCCTCTTTATCTGTGACCAGTGGGACGACCGTCACAACGTCTGTTGGCACGGACTCGTCCAATTCTGAGGATGCTGCTCAGATGAAATTAAGATCTGCGGTGTTGTCGTCGAGCAAAGTTCCCTCAGAAATATCGAGTCAGATGTCATCCTCACCTTCCTCTCTCTCCGGAGAAGACACGATTAAAGCGACGTCTTCGGAGGAAGATAACCCCACGCCAACAAACAAAGACCTGCAGACTGTGAAGAAAGAAGAAAACGCAACAAGTGATCGAGACGCCCCAGTCAAGCAGGAGGTAATGGATACGTCAAATCCACTTCAAAATCCAGACAGTGAGCCTACCATCAGTATCAAGGTGGAAGTCACTAGTGCAGTATGTGGGACAAACTCGGGAGATCCGAAGCCCGGGGCAGGAATGGAGGTTAAGTCTGACGTGACCAAACCGCTGAGTATCGAGACCAAGTTCAACAACTCCTCCCCGTGCGCAGCCAGCAGTGAGAGCACGGACACGGCCTCGGAGATTGGCTCCGGCTTCAGCTCTCCTGGCAGCCTCAACACTAGCTCGTGTCAGAGTAGCCCGCAGTTCTCGGATGGGACCAGCGGACCGGGTATGTATGCAGATTATTGCGGGTGTTTAATGTGTCCTGCGCACTCATATGATGACCGTATGCAGTTTGCGAGCGCCATTTTTGAAAAAAAGATTGTTGGGGCTTTTTTGGGGGTTTTTTTAGTCAGTCTTTTGTTTGGTTTTGAGTTTAATGCCTTACTAAGTTACTAGACAAAACATTGATAATTTCAGTTTTGTAAAAGTTTTACGGCGCTCGCAGCTGCATAAAGTCACAGGAGCACGTTGATTATTTATTTCAAAGGCAAAGTTCTTGTCCCAGTGGTTTCATGTAAGAAAATTAATAGAAAGAAAAACAGAAGATAATCCAAAGTAAACATCAAATAAATACGTACATTATTCGCATTATTTAATAACCTGTTAGATAGCTTGTCCAATTTCTCTTTATATATACTATATGCATATATTTTTATACAATGAACCTATGATTTGCAAACCGTTTCAGTCACCCTAAAACAGATCTTAGTCCTTTCATTCTGGGTTGTTGAAACAGCCTCTACTAGTTGTATTTTTAAAAAAACTTAAAATAAATGTCGTGAATACGAAAGGGTTCATGCTTTCTGTTCTTTGGATTTTCTTTTTGATACTATACTTGGCGTAAAAAAAAAACAGACACCCCTTTTTGAGTGTTTTTTGTATTGAAAGACTGATTTTAACCAGAAACAATCTCTCTATAAGGAAAGTTTGAACATTTTACAAATCAATTACTCAAAAAATAATTTTGAAAAATGAACTTTATTTCCTGAAATTTGATCTTTTAATTGTAGACCCTAAAATGAAAAGTCACAGTTAATACCGCGTATAGCCGCCGTAGCATTGGCAACTCCTGTGCACCTCTGCCGCATGCTTCGCAAAAGTCTTTGTATGGGATGCTGTGGAATGTTGTTCCATATGTTTGTAAGTGCTGTACATAGCTGATCCAAGGTGACCGGCTGAGGTCTAAGGCGTCGGCGCACTTATGGTTCTCCGTCCCTTCCACTCCCTGGCTGTCTTGGTAGCAGGCCGGAAGCGATCTCGTAGGTGCAAGACTCGAATGTTCCGGTCATGGGCTGGTGTTGTAGCTCTAGGACGACCCGTCCGGGGACCATCCTGCACGGATCCAGACGTCTGCAAACGATTCATTAGTCGATATATCATGTTTCTTGTCACATTGAAGGTCCTTGCAACATTCGCTACTGGCGTATTGGCCCTCAGCATACTAACTGCCTGATTGCGCTCTTCGTTCGTGAAATGCGGCATGCTGTATCTTTAGATTTAGATGTTTTGAAATGAAACTTTTAACGTTTTATTCTTGGCTACAGATAAAAGATGTGTTAAACCCAAAAAATAAAATTAAAAAACCAAAAACGTTCGAGAAAAATGACAAAACACGGTTTTTAACAAAACAAGACCTGAGCTTTATTAATTGGGCACCTGATCATAAATGCAGGCAGATCAGGAGCGTCAAGTGTTCACAATAATGTGCGGAAAATTTCAGCTCAATGGGTTTTCAACTTTTCTTGAAACACGCAATTAAAATGTGTCTGGTTTTTATTGACGCTAAGTATATTAGCTCATATAAAATATGAATTTTTATTGTAAAAAGAAATCGTAGGCCTGTGACATGTAAAAATGTAGAGTATTTGAAAATATTCCTTGACAAATTAATGTGAATGGCTTCAAATTATATTTACAACTTTATGTTGTCATGTCCTTTCTGGACATGCAGTTGGGAGTACATGATATTATTTTATTATTGTTATTCTTTTGTATTGTAGTGTGGCCTCTCCTTTTTTTGTTTCAATATTTACAATACAAAGTCAGAACACTTCTCTGCAACTTGAATAAATGGTCTTAGTAATGAGATGATTATATAAGTGCACATAGAATCTCCTCTAACAGCTGCTTTCCAACTTTCTATTTCAATTTTTGTAGGTGATTGGCGGATGCTCTGCTGTGGTTTGCTCCTCCTTTCCTACCAAACATCTATCATCCTTATCTGCCCCCGTTTTTGTGCTTGTTACTCCCATGTAACACCTATGTAACACCTCTAATCTCTGGCTCTTATATGAACTAATTCTGTGTGTTGAAAGTGCTGTAAAACTCCTAGTAAAAAACAACATTTTGATTTTTCATTGTCTTTACTCAACAGACGGTGAGGTTCACCACCACCATCATCACAGGGACAAGAGAAAGAGGAGGTCCAGTCAGGCCTTCACACCAAAGGTTTGTTCAGTGCACATCTCTCTTTAAGTAAGCCCCTACTTGAGGCTCTCATCCTCTGAATCAGGGATCACTAAATTTTTTTCTAAGTGAACCGGATAACTCACTGAATGTCAATAATTATTTTGTTCAATACTTTACACTAAATTCATATTCAATTGAGAGAGTGGCACATGAGCTAGAAGTTATAAAATATATCATGTTTAATTTGCACGGTAGAGTAGAATGAAATAGTTAGATTATCTCGAGGACCAAGTAAGAACACATCTTTCAAGTTTGTGTTTTTTCCCCCCACATGGATTTGGCAGCAGATTTGATGAATTGATCTCATTCAAGCTGCAGATTGGTGACCCCTGACCTTAATTAATCTTTTACTAGAAGTTATGCAGTCCATGCCGGCTTTAAGCACGGTCATCGGGAGAAAGCTTAAGCGTGCTTAATGCCGAAGCGTGCTTGAGTGCGAAGTAGACATAATCCAGAGATTTTCGTGTAGAAAATTTCCGGTGCTATTTCCCTTTGTTTGTAAGTAGGTCTGTAGCGGTCCTGCAAAAGTGTGCACTGTTATTTGTACCCACCATGGTAGTTTTTGTTTGCTTGTTTGTTTTTGTTTTGGGGTCGAATGGGAAATGAAAACTTAATTTAGATGGCCAGTCATGATACAGCGCACTAGGCCTACACACTGCTGGTGCGTACCACTGCCCACTGTGCCACATTCATACTACCGCCTTTATCCCACCTCATGCGTCATCACAATACATAATCAGGATTAATGGATAGCGAGGGTTAAAGGTGAAATCACAGCCAGCCTCCCTTTCTTGTCTTCCTGACTCTCTTTGTATTTTTTTTGTCTGTGTGTAGCTTTGCCCTAGGCTAGATTATCCTATGTCTACGCTCGCGGCTGTGTGCATCTCTCTACTCTCTACCTTCCTCTCCGCCAGTGCGAGTGTGCGTGTGTGTGTCTCCTTCACCTGCGTTCTTTGTGTTTCTCTTAACACACTCACTGCTGCGGTGTAGACTATGTTCGAACTTCGATGGGTCATCATAAAAGTACTGACTAAGTCTTGTAAATGAAGCATGCTTGAAGCTGAAGTTACCGTGCTTAAAGGCGTGCAATTTATATAGCCAAAATTCGGTAAGAGCCGTTTAGCGTGTTTGAGTCGGAAACGTGCTTTATGCCGGCGTGCTTAAAGCCGGCACGGACTGTAGTAGGCAACTTATTTAGATCAGTCCCATTGGAATTGAGTTTTTAGGGAAATTGCTGCCAAAGTTTGTCACTGATGTGTATTGTAAGAAAGTCTTCCAAGGTGGTTCATATTTTGTCCTTGCTCTTTGATGAGGATGTTGTGATGTAGTTCTTTTCTGTGTGTCTTTGAATGTTGCTCTCAGTAACACATCTGATCTTCCACAGTTAAAATACTCTTTGATGAGGGTGTTGTGATGTAGTTTGCTCGTTTTTTCCTATCAAACATCTATCATCCTTATGTCTCCTCCAGCTTTTCTGTGTGTCTTTGAATGTTGCTCTCAGTAACACATCTGATCTTCCACAGCTAAGATACTCTTTGATGAGGGTGTTCTGTTGTGGTTTGCTCCTTCTTTCCTTTCATACATCTATCATCCTTCTCTCCTCTAGTTTTTCTTTGTATGTTACGGTCCAGTAACACCTCTGATCTTCGGCACTTATACGACCTATTTGTATTGCAAGTGCCATAAAACTTGTACTAAAACTAGCTCTTTGATTACTCCCAACTCACTGTGGGACAAGTTTGAAAAAACTTTGGAGAATTTCCATCTTGCAATGTATACCCACTGTTTCAGCTGATAAAATCTCAACTGATGTTTCTGCAGGATCTCCTGGACTTATTGAAAAATGTGGAAAATGAAATTGAGCTGTGTGAAAATAACTTGAAAGAGGAGAATGAGAAACGTAAAAAGTACAAGGTGAGTTTTGTGTTACACCCCCCTCCCCCCCCCCTCCTTTTTGTGTTTCTTATTCTCTTGCGCGGGTGTTTGGCGGGTGCTCTGGTGTGGTTTGCTTCTTCTTTCCTATCAAACATCTACAGTGGGTGCCGCATTCAACGAGAAGTCATCTCCAACGAGGCAATCCTTAATCCCTGATTTTTTTCCTCTATATCTCTTTGTAAATGTACGTCGGCTCCAATGAGGTTGCAAACAGACCGAAGTCGCTTTCAACGAGGTCGCATTAACAAAATAAAAGCAAGAAAATGTTTCTCCTTTCTCTCCATCTCACGTGAAGCTCAAAGCCCATCACCAATTCCTAATACATTGCATTGCTAGATCTAGTATGCCTCCTAATATGGGCCCCAAAACCGAGAGGATGAGCGAGGGTTAGCCTACTGTAGAGACGGGAGGTGGTCGTTGGGAACGCGATGTGAAACTGGATGAACTCTGGATGGGTAGGTCTAGATTGAGACCTTTTTTTTTTTCAATTTTCTTTTCTTCCCCTGATCAGAAAATCCAAGCTCCCGCCTTTACTTAATGTAGATATCTAGGCCTAGATGTGAGGGGGTATGTTTCCACACGAGAAGTGTCCAGGAAAAATATAAATTAAAATGCAAAAATGACGGCCAGAACACAGCTCAAACACGCACACACTGATGCTGTGTGAGATTTTCGTCATCAGGGGGAGCAATTGTTTAAGTTTTAATTACTGGTATTGGTACATCGTGTAATATATGAACCGGTCTCCTTTCTTTACTTTTGCCTTTGTCACGTTCAACGAGAGGTCGGATCCAACGAGGACAACAAGCCGGTCCCAGCAACCTCGTTAAATGTGACACCCACTGTATCATCTTTATCTCCCCTCCTTCTTTTTTTATGTTTGTTACTCTCTTGTTACACCTCTAATCTTCTGGCGTTCAAATGACCTTGTGCAGTTGCGAGCGCCATAAAACCTATACTAAAACAAATTCTCTTCCGACACCTCTAATCTGCGGCACTTATATGAACCAATTGCGTTGCAAGTGCAGTAAAACTCTTACTGACTAAAACAAATGAAAAAAGGAAGGCCGGGCTTGACACCTGTCATCATGGACGTGTTTGTCAGTTCGCTACCCTGGAATTACGAAGTTCTATCTGCTCAGTACCCAGTTTTGAGAAATTTTATGTCAAAGATTTTGAGTTGCACATCATGTCAAGCTTTGTCGAATGCAATTCTTTGAATATCTTGACGAAGACTCCGAATAGTCTTATGATTTTTGATAGAGCAGATAGAACATTTGGTTTCTGACCTCATGGTCTTAGTAACTCAAAACAGCCAAACATGTCTGATAGAACTTTGTAATTCTGAGGTAACGAGTCGGTGCCCCACTTCTTGTCTTGTCACAACAGGCCTCCCATCTTTATGGGTCTCTACTTTTATGTATGATTTCATGAAGTTGTATACCGTTGTCGGAGCGGGTGGTTGGAGGGCGCCACTAGTACCGATAGTTTGTACTTCTTAACTTTCCCTCTGTTGATTTTGTTTGTCTGTCTTACTTTTTCCCAGCACTAAAAAAATACCATTATTGTGTCAATGTGCTTCTCTTTACTCAAACGAACACAAACACTGTCAGATTTTACATTTCAATGTATGGTGTAGGTGGGGGGGTTTTTCTCCCTTATTTATTTCTCCTTGCCTCTACTCTGCCAAGCAGCACAGTTGTTATTAGGTCTGTTGGGGG